GTGTCTACCACGACTCGCTTGTCCATCCCTCCCCACCCCCACCCCCCCACCCCCACCCTGGGATAGACACCAAGGGACATCTAGCACCACAGGCAACGCAGGACATGCTTTCCTGTGCCTTGTTCCTCTCTTGGATCGGATTCCCCAGAAGCAGACCCTGAGTCAAAGATCTGAGTACAATTAAGATACTATTGTGTGCCACAATCCCTGTGGACCCAGGACTGGGAAATCTACCCGGGACTGGGATTCCTGGGCCATACTGCAGCAACATCCATCACTTCCCTCAATACCCCTTACAGCTTTCCCAGAGACTGTACCAGACTGTACTCCCTCCAGCAGTGGGCTCTGGGGGTCAGACAAATGCTGGGTTCAGATCCTACTGGGTCGGGTCAAGAAAGGAGTCACCCTTGGCTGGTGGAGAGAAAGATGACCGACCTCTCTTCTAGCTAATAGTACAGCAGGTGTCCCTTGAGGGTCCACCGTGTGTCAGGCATTGGGCCAAGCACATCACCCTGTGTCACCTGCCTTAGTCCTCACCATAAGTCAAGGAGGTTGGAGCTGGTCGTATCCCCGTTTCACAGATATGGTTAGTGAGTCTGAGAGGCCTGACTTCCCCCAAGTCAGAGTGACTGGCCTGGAACCCAGGTCTCCTGATTTCAGAGCCAGTGAGCTCTTCTCCAGCTTGGAGTAGTCAGCAGGTTGACCCCAGAGCGGGAGTAGGACCTGGTTTTTCTCAGCATCCCGTGTGTTACTTTCCTACTGTAACCGAGTACCACAAACTGAGTGGCTGAAAACAACACAAACTTACTACCTCACATTTTGGAAGACAGAAGTCTCAAATGGGCGTTACGGGGCTAAGATAAAGGTGTCTCAGCAAGGCTGTGTTCCTTTCTGGAGGGCCCAGGGGAGAGTCAGGTCTTGCCTTTACCAGCTTCTAGAGGCGGCCTGCTGTCCTCGGCCTGTGGCCCCTTCCGTCTTCAAGGCCAGTCGCGTCTTCCTCACATCGCATTGCGTCTGACACACTTTCCCACCTCTTTCTTCTATCTTTTAAGGACCCTCGTGATTGCTTGGGCCTTCAGAGAATCCGGGATCATCTTGCCATCTCAAAGGCAGCTGATTGGCAACCTTGATCCCTCCTCGCGTGTAATCTAACATATTCACAGGCTCCAGGGATCAGGATTAGGACATCTAGGTGGGGTCGCGTTACTCTGCCTACACATGCCCCACCAATGGTGTCTACCTGTGCTCACCAGACCTGGTGTGGAGTGCGGCTTCGATAGGGAAGTGGGTGCTGGGCACGGGGAGCCCCTCAGCCTCTGGGCTAAGCCATTTCTCTGCCAGCCTGGTCCTCCCGCCCTCTGCAGCCCAGCCAGGGCTGATGACGCTGCCACCCACCCACCCCCACACACAAACACACAAAATCCTCAGGTCAGCTTTGGTGTGGTCTGACTCCATCCGACCATCCGTCCATCCACCCACCCATGCGAGCCACCCTCACCCCTGCTCTCTCTCCCGGATTTGCCCACCTGCCCTCCTGTCCCGCATCCCACAGCCAGCAAATGCTGCCCCTAACTCCGTTCTCATCATGGCGCCACCTAGCGTCTCCTCGGTGAATGGCACCACTGGAATCCATTCTCTCCCCCCCGCCCCTTCCGGTCCAACCAAAGCCCGGAGGTTCCCTCCTCCAAGAAGCCCTCCCAGACCCCTCCAGCTCATGCTGCTGTCATTTCCTTGCTCTATTTCCTGAAATGACCTTACTTAGGGACCGCCTCCACCACTAGAATGTCCACTCCCTGAAGACAGGGGCTGGGTCTGTCTTCGCTTTGCCTATAGACCTGTCACAGCCCCAACATGCAGCAAGTGCAGAATGACAGTCCTGGACCCCCCCCTCATCCTTATCCTCACAGCCCCGTTCTCAGCTCTCTTCCCAACCGTCCACAGCCCCTCAGAGGCAAAATCACCAAAATCCATGGTGCTCCGGAACTGACAGATATAATACCGGAGAGAAATTTTAAAAGACCAAACTTCTCAGGAGGGTGTCAGGCTGGGTGAAAAGTGGCATTGTTTTCCAGAAACAGGGCTTTGGGGCCTCTTTGATTTCTGGACTTCGTTCGAGACTCTAGAGCCTAGCATGCAGAGCCGTCTCCCTACACCCATCAGACGAGGTGTCCCCAAGACCAAAGGCCAAGGAGAAGCGTGCCTGTTCCTCAGTTAGCAAACCCTAGCATCTGGCCTTCCACGTGCTAGCAGACCAAACGAAGTGGGCTTTTTCCTTCTCCATACCGTATAGTATGCTCTTGTTCCCTTCTCCACACTAAACAGGATAACTTTCCACATAGGACGCTGAGGCTTTGACTCACAACTGACATGAGTCAGGGGAGGAAGAAACGAGGGATCTCTAATTGGGGGAGCTTTCTGCCGGCGGGAAAGCTACAGGTTGAAGGAAGACATTCTGGAAGAGGTGATTACAGCCAAGGGGGTTTCACAGGGGCTCTTCAGGGCTTGCAGGACAAGAGGAATGAATGTTCCTTTTCCTCCGCCACCACTCTTGCCAAACAGAATGTCGCCTCTCCTCTTGTCTTCGGTGGCAAAGAGAAGACAGCAGAGCTGAAAAGCGGTACCGCTAATGTGAAGTGCCTGAAAGGGATTATTCTCGCTCCCCCAAAGGATTCTGGCAGGCTGTGCCCGAGGAGATCGGTTCCAATTTTAGGCGAAGTTAAGAAACATTCTCAACACTCTAAAATCAAATCATTTTCATTTCAAACGCAGGTGTCCCCTAGTTTCCCAGCACCCAATCTGTGACACTTTCCCCAAAGACAAATGAGTGGAGTGACGATTTGCTTTATGTAAAAGAATTTCCTTTAGGATGGGAGCCTCTTTCAGATGGACTCCCCCCCCCCCCCCCCCCCCCCCCCCCCGCCTGGCTCCTGCTGAACTCTTTCCATCCATACAGGTGTACGTGCACCCGTGTGCGCGCTCGTGCATTTTCCCTGAACGTGTCCATAGCACAGATTGACGCTCAGGTATTGGCAGTGGGTTTCCATTGGCACTGATAGACTTTGCTGGTACCACTTGCTTCCACGGGGTACTGGGCTGGAGGGAAGGATGATGATTTTTAAAAGCAGAGTATTAGACTGTTAATACTTTCCTGTGGATCGGCTTAGCTCTGGAGAGCTCAGTTGCCATCATCTAGGGTCTCCCCAACTCAAATGCCTACAGGGGCCAGGAAGGAAACCTACATGAGTGAAGGGGAGTGGCTGTGAGAAAGATAACAGGGAGGGTCGGGGACTGTGGTAGATTGTAGCATGCACACCCTGCCGACAGGAGGCGGTCATTTCTCAGCCGGAATGTAGGCCAAATGTTGCCTAGTGTCTGATTTTTTTTTTTTT